TTTGGGGTGGATGACAGAACTGTTCTATATCTTGATTATGGAGTTAGGTACGCAACTCTACACATTTGTCAAAACATATAAGTGTACACCAAAACGAGTGAATTTTACTGTGTGTAAACTGAAAGACACATTTCTAAAAGTGCTATATTCAAAATAATACAGATAAAAGATCAAAAGCTCTAGAAAAATGTGTTACTAAACTATTCTAATTACTCAAAATACAGCTTCACTCATGATAAAGATGCCTATGCTGAAGACACATGTGAAAGGTTACATAAAATTAATTTATGAAACGTGAATGGAAACAAAGTAGTACTTCTAAATGTTAAATATATCACTTTGTGTATGTACTTCTGAGTTCATGTATAACTAAATTAATAAACTGAATGTCATAAGTACATATTTGATTATTTTATATCATAATTTCATATATGAATGGCAGACAAAATATATTTTCCCTTGTTATTGTGAAAATGAGAATTTGCCTTATATTAGGGTGTATACAGTATACAAATTTCTTTAAAGGAAGTATAGCTTGGTGAAAAGATTTTAGAAGATGATATATGCACATAGCCATTAATTATGGCACCCTTCTCAAACAATGATCTATAGATTGACTACATTACAGTCAATTTGGATGTTTTAAAGAATATATAGATTTCCAGACTCCACCTTTGGAGATTTTATTTTAGTAGATCTGGAATTCCTGAATCTCTATTTTTAAAATGGCTCTTGATTCAGGGCCGGCCCGGTGGTGTAGTGGTTAAGTTTGCACGCTCCACTTCTCGCGGCCTGGGGTTCACAGGTTCAGATCTGGGGTGCGGACCTAAACATCCATTCATCTACTCATCTAGCCATGCTGTGGCAGGCGTCCCACATAAAGTAGAGGAAGATGGGCACAGATGTTAGCCCAGGGGCAATCTTCCTCAGAAAAAAATAGGAGGATGGGCAACAGGTGTTAGCTCAGGGCTAATGTTCCTCACACAAAAAAAAAGACACATTGCTAAAATGGCTCTTTATTTAAGAAGCACCAAAAGAAGGTTTAGACTGTCAGATAGTCTGGTCATGTAGTTTGATATACAAAGACTTGTACACTGTTCAGAGCAGCTTTATTTGTAATTGCCCCAACCTGAAAACCTATATGTCCATCAACAGGTAAATGGATAAAAAAACTGTGGTATATCAAACACAATGGAATACTATGTGGTGTTAACAGGGAATGAATTACTGATTTAAGTAAAAATATGAATATCATAATCCAAGAGAATAACTTATTCTACTTACTCACTTTTTCTTTCAAAATATAAAGAGTGCACATACTTTATGTGCTTAGACAGTGTTATGTTCTGAAAAAGGTCAAACCAAAAAAAAAGCAAGAGGATATAATGTGTGATTCCATTATATACAATTCTAGAAAATGTGCAGACTACAATACAGAAAACAGACTGGTGGTTGCCTGGGGACAAGGGGCAGGGGTGGAGAGGGATAGATTACAAAGAGCAGGAGGAAACTTGAGCATGAAGGATACGTTCCTTTTTCTAACTGTGTGGTTCCACAGCTATACACGTTAAAACTTATCAAATTGTAAACTTATATGTGTATTTACTGTACATCAATTATATCTCAATAAAACTTTTAAAAAAGCCTTCTGATTTAAGAACCACCAAATTAAATTTCAGCCAGTTTGTCTGTTTGTTTGTTTGTTTCTTTTTGTGTGTGAGGAAGATCAGCCCTGAGCTAACATCCATGCTAATCCTCCTCTTTTTGCTGAGGAAGACCAGCTAACATCTATTGCCAATCCTCCTCCTTTTTTTTTTCCCCCAAAGCCCCAGTAGATAGCTGCATGCCATAGCCGCACATCCTTTTAGTTGCTGCATGTGGGACGTGGCCTCAGCATGGCCGGAGAAGTGGTGTGTCAGTGTGTGCCCGGGATCCGAACCCGGGCCGCCAGTAGTGGAGCGCGCGCACTCAACCGCCAAGCCACAGGGCCGGCCCTGTCTGTCTGTTTTTAAGCCTAGCAATGGTCATATATGATTATCATGTTCAGCCTCATGAGTTACAGTTATAAACAAAGAAACAAACACAAACCAAAACAGCAATAACAGCATCATGAAGGACAGAATATTTGGGGATATCCCAAAGAAGAAAAGAACTTATGAAGTAACTAAAAATTGAAAATATTTACCTCACATAACAGAAGATTGAGGTTATTTCCTAATCTAAGAACACAATTTATTGCATCTTGTTCATACTGCTAAAAATAACTATCACCCATGGTAGATGTCTGATAATATACAGCTTTTATAAAATAGTTCTATTAAAAATAAAAACATTGTTACATGGAGGATGGAGATAAGCTGTTCCTTTACTTCAAACAGAATGAAAGAAAATGGGTACAATTTATGTAATAGGAGATATTACAATTAGAAATTGGAATAGCTTATGAAATAGAATGGTTAAACACTACGTTTTCTAATCATTTTTGGTAGAAACTTTCTAAATAAATAGGCCCACATTTGCTTTAGGGAGCCCAAGGGGTAAATTATATCAGGACACATTTGTGCTCGTTAATCTTTCCTCCCAGGAACTTTGGAAAGGAAAAGACTTAACTTGTAAAATAGTATGAAAAGAACTACAGATGCTAACATCCCTTTCTCCACATTTGTCATGGCCATTTGATTTGTCCTTGCGTATTTAATAAATTTATGTCCTGGGTACCATCGAATTTAAAACTAAAAGGGAAGTAAGAGAGTATTTCATTTCATTTCATTTTATTGATGGTGAAACAGAGACCTAGAGACATTAAAAGCCAGTTAATGACATTCATCTTGGTGTTGGGGTGAGGACTAGGATGGATTAGGTATAAAATTAAACTTTGATGTAGCCCTAACCCTACAGACTTTCTAACCTTTAACAAATTACAGCTTTTGAAAAATAGGCTTAGATGCTAGAAGGGATCACTACAAACAGAGTCAGTGAAAACTTGTATTCTCTTGGATGCCTAATAACCAATTTTAATCACTCAGCAACACCGGATAAATTGCTACAGTACGTATTACTGTCACTTGTTTCACATAAACCTACATTAATTATAAGGTTTTAAAAACTATAAAACATTACATCTTGGAATTTTCAAAAGTACAGTCACCCTCAATCCAAATAAACTCTCCATCTATATTAGAAACTGAGAAGCCCTCCTACTCCAACAAGGCAGACCATCTACCTTTGTAGGTTCAATGTGGGTCACACTCCCTGCCCAACACATTTAATTTGCAACTAAAGCTAAGTTTGCAGTGTAAATCAAAGTAAACTGTTCAAAATGAGAAAAATATTCCCAATGTCAAGACTTCAATGACTATATATTTAAACAGTACCCTACTCCTCACCACCCTTGACACAAAAGGAACAAAGGTCCTAACAGCAAACAGAGTCTATCTAGAAGCTGCTAATATATCACGATGGCAGTTTCTCAGGAATTAAATTATTTTGCTAGCCATATCCTCTTGTCCCTGCCATTACTGATGGCTAGTGTGATGTGATACTTTGAAGGAAAAGCTTCTGGGCTACTGGCTGACTGCATGCAGGTTTACTGAAGGACTCATCTCCTAGCTTTCAGTTATTCAGCCAAGGCAAAGAGCTAAGATCAAAAACTCCTACTGCCTTCTGCCCACATTTTCTGCTCATGAACTTATTTATGGACTCCCAATTCCAGGAGTTCCTTTAGCCTAGAGGTCCCTAAAAGAACAGAATACAGCTTACTCTTCATTGTTTCTTGTTTTTAGTTTTAAGTTGTCTGAGATAAATATTTTATTTTATTTCTTATTCTATTTTCTTTTAAAAACTAACTTTGTCTTCTTTTTTACCTTAGACTGTCTTTTTAATTCTTATTTCCTGTAGCAACTACTTTCTTATTTGTCTTTCTCAATATTATCTTTCCTAACAACTTTAATATTTAAATTTTATATTCCTATTAGTCAGTTAATTTACCAGTCTATTTTCTCATTTATTTATTCTTATCTCAAACAGAAAACACTAAACCACCTTGGGTTCCAATGGCAGAGAGGAATCCCAGCTCTATGGACAGCAACTACAGAGAAATCCACCACAAACAGGGGAAAGTTATTTCTATGCAGCTCCTCCTCTAACTTCCTTTAAAATTCTCCCAACTCTTTAAATTATAATTTCTAAAATTTTCAATGGAGACAATTACAGTAAAATTTATATGTATGTAAATTCTTTTAAACTTTTAAAATATCTAAATGCATTTTGATTCAAAGGGGGTAATTTTCCTGCAAAAAAGGGGGTATATTAGAGTGATATCATCAACATAGCCCCCTCCTCTTAAAATATTTTATTCATTCTTCTCAGTGTCTTATAAATAAAATTTGAAGTCTCAGAATAATTGAGCTATTCATAAAAATGATAATGACAATAAGCTATTGATAACTAAGCTAATAAACAACATGGTGAAATTTACACAATTTAATTGCTGAATAATTCTATTTCCCTAAATTTGGTTTCAAAAAGCATGCGTTAAAAGAAAAATGTCAACTGAATTCAGGCTGAAATACAACTGAGACATGCCAATTAACAGGAATTGGGTAGCACTTTATCTCAAGTTGGCTTTTATATCAACTAATCCTTGAGTTATTGAAGGAAGGTGGGACTAAAGAATAGGCAAGCACAGAAACACTATAGACAGGAAAGATATCCCTGCCTCTGGCTCTAAAAAAAGAAAAAAAAATCATAAAACAAGGAGGGAACAAAAGCTGGAATCTTTTGGGGGAAACAGAAGTTTGGCAATTTATTCTCCTAAAGGGATGAGCAAAAGTGTTGAATTCTAATTGATCTAATAATGAAAATTTGGTTTACATCCCATTTTTATGTGGTTATATTTACATTTAACCATAAATTCTGTTAGGGCAATCTCCAGTGAGTACATTGTAGATATAGAACTAAAACATAAAATACATACATAACAGAATAACAATAATATATACCTTAAGTGGATCTGCTAGCTCTGATAGCTGATTAATTTTCAGTTTAATTGCATCATACTTGTTTTCTGCTTCTACTTTCAGCCTTTTAAGATATTCCATATTTTCTTTATGTTGTTCCATATTTTTCTCAACCATTTTCATTTTGATTTTATTTTCTTGAGCTTCCTCCTCCTGGTTACATTTACAGAGCATATAGAGTTAATTAAAATATGTAAGTTATCAAATAAAAAAATACTACAAACAATTCTGAGAGAGGAGAAGTTACAGGCTATAGGCAAATCAGATCAAAGACAAATACAAAGAGCACCAGCACATTTTCATACCCTTCATAGTAAATTAGGAAGTAGAAGAAAACAGGTTTAAAAATAAGAAGGGATGGGGGCCGGCCCCACGGCATAGTGGTTAAGTTCAGCACACTCTGCTTTGGTGGCCTGCGTTCAGTTCCCAGGTAGTGGACCTACATCACTCATCAGTCAGTGGCCATGCTGTGGCGGCGACCCACATACAAAATAGAGGAAGACTGGCACAGATGTTAGCTCAGGGCGAATCTGAGGTCATAATCAAAAAGAGTAACTTTTATTCTATCTACTCACTTTTTCTTTCAAAATATAGTGTACATAAATGTGTACAAAAATGTACATATCTTGTGCCAATGTGTTAGATGCTGAGTCAACAAAAATAAAGAAGACATAGTCCATATCTTTAAGAAACTTAGTCTTTCAATAAAAGGAATTAAAGCAGAAAAATCAAAAGTGAAAAAAAGATTACTAATAAAAAATGAAGACAAATTCTCATTAGAGCAAAGCTGCACTGCCACAGTGACTTTACACGTCTTGTTTATTTTTGAATCCCCTAGCACTTAATAGAGTGCCTGGTATAGAGTAGATACTTAATAAATATTTATTCATTTTAACAAGACTCTGCAATCTATGTAATCCATGGCTTACTGTAACTCAGAGAAGCTAAGCTGAATGTCATAAACAGCCTGGGAAAAAATAAAAATAGAGTAAAAAATTTGTGGTGAATGAAAATGAAAACCACTAACTTGGAAAAAAGAAAACAATGCAAAGGGACCAACTACAACTGACTAAAAGATATCCATTAATATTGATACTAATTAACTCTGAAAAATACCATGCTGGGCAGTTTGGTTTGAAAGGCCACTGTTTAAAAGCAACTAAGCTGTGATAAAGTTTTATTTCTTGTAGGAAAAGACAAAATCAATTATTACACATGCAAGCTATATATAAAACGCCAAGTAGTTGCTACCTTATTTGTGAATGGAGACAGCAATCAGAAAAAGTAGCCTCAGTTAAAAGGATTCAGGGGCCGGCATGGTGGCACAAGCGGTTAAGTGCGCGCGCTCCACTGCGGCAGCCCGGGGTTCGCCAGTTCGGATCCCGGGCACGCACCGACGAACAGCTTGGCAAGCCATGCTGTGGCAGTGTCCCATATAAACTGGAGGAAGATGGGCAGGGATGTTAGCCCAGGGCCAGTCTTCCTCAGCAAAAAGACGAGGATTGGAAGATGTTAGCTCAAGGCCAATCTTCCTCACAAAAAAAAAAATAAATAAATAAAAATAAAAGGATTTAAAAAAAAAAGTTGAGAGTAGATTCTATTAACCTAAATGACAGTTTTGTCCTTTAACATTACATTTAAATTGAGGAAAAGACTCTTACCAAAGTTGCAATATCCACAGACTGGTGTTCTTCTATATTCTCAAGTTCCCGAATTTCAGAAAAACTTTTTCTTATTTTCACCTGAAAAAAAGTATTTAGATTTTAGTAACATAAAAATAAATAAAAGATAAAAATAAAAACCCTGGAAAGGATATATTAATCCATGAAGTTCTACTCTGCTTTATGTTACAGAAGGATTCTGTAGTTAATGAAAGAGACAGATTAGTATTAAATGAACCAAAGGAAGTTATGTATAAAGTCTGCCATAATCACCCTTATTGCTAATCCATTCCTACGCAAAAAAATTGTAAGTACTCCATCTTAGTATTTAAAATGACAAAAAGTTGAATCCACAGAGTAAATATTTTTCTGAAACAGCCAGACTCAAGTTATGGAATGATTACTCTAATCTAGTCATTCTCAAAGTACAACCCAAGTACCCTCTGGGGGCCTCTGAAACTCTTTCAGGGGGTCATAAGGTCAAAATCATCCTCATAAAAACACTAAGACATTATTCACTATTTTTACTATCATTTTCTCACAAGTGTACAAGAGGTTTCTAACTCTTTGATGTGTATGTAAAACTGCAACAGATTGATTGCAGAAGTTGATATGACAATGCAGCTGAATTTTATTAAGCCAGATATTAGAGATTTAAAAAAATAGAAAAATGTCAATCTCCTCACTAAATATCTTTGGTTTCAGAAAATATATTTTTCATAAAAACGTTATGCTAACACACGAGTTTATTATTATTTGTAAATGAACTGATAAATATTCTTAAATTTTGTTTTAATTTTTAACAATGCAAATATTGATAGATAAAACCCACATAAAGGAAAGCTCTTTTAAGACTGGAAGGGGCTTGAGGCCAAAAAGTTTGAGAACTACTCCTCTAACTAAATGAATGGTAGGTCTTAAAAATAACTTGGAAGTGATAAGTTGAGAAAAATGAAATGATATATATGTTTTTACCTTTAACTCTTTATAATGCGCTTGGCACCTTCTAAGACATCCTTCATTGCATTCAATATCCTTTTCAAGGGCAGACAAATGCTGCTGAAGATTTGATATCTGAGCCTTCTTATTTTCAACCTCTTTCTCCAAGTCACTTGATAGAGAGGGGAGGATAATAAACACTTTAAATCTACGTCTGAATATTATGAATACTTTAAATCTTTACAAAGAAAAGTTATTTGTAACAACTTATTTGTAAAACCCTATCCAGTTAAACCAGTTCTTTCTTCCTACCAAGCTATTAATAACACGAGAATACAGAAATTGCAAAAAAACTCTTCTAAACTGGAGTCAAATTTTACTTATTTCATTAATAAGTATTTATGATATGATTTCTGGGTGGCAGGCATTATGCCCAGTGATAGCAGAGGTAGAAACAGGATCAAGACATGAAAGAATCAAACAAAAAGGAAAAAAAATCAGGAAATAAACTATAACATTATACTGTGAACAGGACACTATACTCTATGTCTGCAGTACTATGGGAACATAAGAGTGAGTTTGGGAGAGGTGACAACTGAATTGTGTTTTCTAAAGTTTTCACCAGCTGGACTAATTGGCAGGAAGATGGAAAAAAATATACAAAGGCATAGAGTGATGAAAACAGACAAAACTGATAGTCAGCTCAACATTACTGCAGGTCAACAAATGAATGTATGGGGAGTGAAAGCGATGGGAGGAGGCCAATGAAGAGGGATGGAGGATAAAGTAGGCAGATGCCAAAGCCACAAAGGGTCCCCGCGACAGCACAGTCAACTGTCTTCAGAAGCAACCCTCCCCTGCCTCACTGAACCAAGCACCTGTCCCCCAAAGCCATGTGCCTGTAAGACAACAACCTGTGAGTTAAGAAAAACTTCTCTCTGATTGAGTGTATGCCATATTTCACTAAGATGCATATTCTTCCACATTTTAACATCTCTGAGCTCTGAAATCATCTTCCAGTTCATGGTTCAATTAGCAGCATTTTTTCTTTTTTACTGGCATATAAAATAATAGAGCATCTTAAACTTAATGAAATAAATTTTAACTGTGCTACGTTACTAGAATTCTCAAAATTTAAAAAAGAAAAATCAATAAATGATAGGTGAATGAATGATAAATGAATGATAAAAATGAGGAAAGGAGGAGAATAATTGTGGTATTTCTGGTAAAAATGGGGCCAGATGCAAAAACTTAAGATGGGTCCTCAGGATTTAATAAGAAAACTGTATTTTATCATATATAAATCTATACTTTTAATAACAGTTAATTGTGCTAAAAAAAATTATCAAGTAAACAAACTTGGAAACCTAGAGCCTAAATCAAAAATAAAAACCAACAAAAGGAGCACGGACAATATTGTTAGTATATAATTTGTGAATATTTAGAATAAAATTAGGCAATCAACATAATTTACAAGAATAAAACTGCTAAATTATACAACTTCCTTTTTGCCGGGTAGGACAAATTCTGTTACACATTTTCATAGTGTTCCTCCTTAGTTTTTGATTAATTTTTACATGGAGAAAGAATATTTACTACCTAAAGAGAAAGATATTAAAACTGAGCACATGTGCATTGTTTGTGTGGGATGAAGACACGTTCCCCGGGCAGCCTGTCTAAGCAGTGCACCCCTCACTCCCCACCCCACACCCCTCACTCGCTAGACCTTCCTCTGCTCTATTTGTCTCCACAGCACTTGACTGAGTTAGTATTCCTTTATAGTCTACCTCCCCCTTCTTATTAGAAGCTCCAGGAGAGGAATTTTGTGTACTTTGTTTCCTGCTGTATCTTGTGCCTAGATCAGCGCCTGGTACTCGTTCAGTATTTCTTTGAAGGAACAAATGGAAGAATAAAATTTGAAAAACACACTTCGTAAAATTATATAAAAAATGTTACAGTATTTTGACAATTCAAAAATCCAGAGGTAACTTCTTTTATGATCTTGTATAAAGCAAGTAACTGCACTGGTAATTATTCTGAGAGCTTATTGACACATTTCTCTTGCACCCTATTTGTACTTTCATAATAGGAAAGCACACTGGGATAACAAAACCAACTCAGGACCTGTACATAAGACTTGAAATGCTTTGCCTATTGAGAAGCCACTCTATTCATTATGAAATCGTGAAAAACTAATTATAATCTCCTCACTGAAAGTCCAGAGCCATTGTTCATCAACAGGAATCCATCAGCGCTGCGTTAATGAGGGTACGGAAAAGCATTCCTCATGCGGTCATAGTATGAGGGGAAACTGGGGAATCTTTCTGGAATCATTTGGCAATCACTTTTAAATAATCAATTTACATAATAAAATAATTTAAAAATCAAATAATCTATTTTAGTAAATATTAAAGTTCATTTAATATTATAAATGTTAAAAATATTAATTGTTTAATGTTACCAAATATTTAAAACTAGACCATAAATTATATATTAATAAAACAGTGATAGTCATTTGGCCACAGCTGTTAAATAATTTTAAAATTCATGCATACTTTGGCTCAGCATTTTCACCACTAAGAATTTAAGCTATGCACATACTGTCAAAAGTATGCCAAGACATACAGGTGTGTTCTCACTGCAGCACTGTAACAGGAGAAAACAGCAAACCACCCCTACATCCATCAATAGGGAACTGGTTAAGTAGATTTGTGGTACAGCCATATCAAGAGGTAGTTCTAAATGTGCTGGTAGGGAAAGATCTCCAAGATATAATATGGAGAGAAAAAAGCAAGATATAAAAACCACATGCATATTTACACAAAGCAAAATATGGATGAACCCTGAAAACATACTAAGTGGAAGAAGCCAGACATGCAAGGTTGCATATTATATGATTCCATTTATATGAAATATCCAGACTAGACTAATCCATAAAGACAAACCCGAAAGTAGACTAATGATTGCCAGGGGGTGGGGGCAAGAGGAATGGAGAATAACTACTCACAGATATGGTTTTCCTTCTGGTGTGTTAAAAATGTTTTAGAATTAGATAATGGTAATGGTTGCAGACCTTGTGAATATAATAAAAATCTCTAAATCGTACACTTTAAAATAGAGTGAATTTTAGGGTATGTGAATTGTATCTCAATTTTAAAAAACCTACGTATATGGTATAAATATGTAAACTGTTCTGGAATATATATAAGAAACTGTTAAACTATTATCTTACTGTTGAAAAAGAAATGAGGACAAAGGGTTTCACTTTATGCCTTTCTGTTTGAATTTTCTCACCATATGCATATATTACTTTTAATTATATTTAAAACGTCAATAGAGACTATGGAGAAATGGGATTATGAGCTACTTTTGTTTTCCAATTAATATTTTTCTGTAATTAAAAAACACTATTGAATTTTTTAAACTTCCAAATATCAGACAACTATCATACTGGTTCAGGTCAAAACAGAAGACACCAAGTAAATTAAATATCATCAGAACTTAGTATATTTTCAATCAGTCAAGTTTATCAATGTGGGAAACAATTTTTTAAAAAACCACTGTTCACAGGGTTCTTAAAAGAAAAGCTTTGTCCATTACACATTAATACAAATAATTTTAGCTAAAAATGAAGCCAGATATCAACTATAAATCTTAAGTTTTGAAACCTTATTACTAAAATGTAGAATCAGGGATCCTAATTTGCTGCTGAGATATACTTAAACAATATTTTCCGAGTGCCATCCTTTTTTTTTTTTTTTAAGACTTGGGACACACATGCATGAGGCATTTTTTGTGGGAAGAAGTGAATGACATAGAGTAACACCACCATGATACTGTTTACACATCTGCACTCACGTTTGCCTGAATACCATACAATTTAGTCTTATACAGCTAGAATTAGGAAGGCCTGATTTAAATGTCATGGCCCAATGGATAACACTTTTTCACCTTACAGGTTACTTTCATACAGGTGCATTCAAACATTTATGGACTTCCATCTATCCTCTCAGAAAGATTCAGTGTCAATTTAAAATGTTGTGCTGAGTGTAACAACACCAAGTTGCTGGTCATTTAACTTTTTTTCTGTTGCGAAGTAAGAGGTTTTACTAAGCTTTCCAACAATTATTATGATTATTTTTCTTTATGCTGCTCTCATAATCACACAAAAATGACTAATATTACTTGACAACAAGAGATCTATTCCAACAAAACTCCTGTTTCCCCTACATACATGTCATGTAGAATACTTTCACTTTTACTCAATTTTCTTAGATATTTCTCTTACTTAAGTTGTAAGTTCTTCTACTTAAGCTCTTCTAGGTTACTAATTCAGTGCCAACCCATCAATTCAACTGAATTAGTTCAGCTGCAAAATCATGTTTTTTGTACCAAAAATTCTTTTTGTATGCTTTTGAATCTCACTAAGTACACATTACTTTTTCGCTCAACTTCTCAATTTGTCTCCTCGAGCAGCTCTATTTTCCTAGGTATGTGTTCTAATTCTGCCGACTGGTCTTTCTAAAACAGTGCAACTCAAAATACCAGCCAGAGACATAATACGGAACTTGAGCTAGAATGTAGACCAGCACACTTGTACTCTCATGGAGAAAAATCAGCAGAACTAAACAACAGGCATAGTGATGTAGCTGATTTATATTCAGAGTTAAGCTCCTTATCCCCCTGCAGACAGGTTACAGACAACACGCAGATCAGCCAGTCAAGGGAACACACTTTGTGTCCTCAGCCCAGAATACCGTTGTCAAAGTGATGAGGGAAAATAACTGGCAACCTAGAATTCTACATCCAGCTAAATATACTTTTAAGAAAAAACAGATTACTCACACTTCTTTGCTAAAATAACTACTAATAGAGTAATATGAAAGGAGATGAACCCCAAAGGAAGCAGTGGGAAAAATATGGTAGAGCTAGACTGGATACCAACCTTATTTCAGAATCTACGTCTCTGCTTAGAAACTTAGGTCTTGTATTTTCAGATGAATAATAACGTTTTGTAAAGACTTGATCCCCATCAGCAGTAAAAGCTTCCCTGCAGTTCTTGGGTGGCTTTTGGGACTGCATTACTGCACGAGCTACAGAATTATTCTAAAAAAAGGGGGGAAATAGATTTAAGTTATGTCAAAGCATTTCTGATGCATACAATTTCAAAATGTTACCTATCATTATTTTAGGATTCAAGTATTTTTAAACATTCAAGTAAAATAATTGCATAAAGTTAAACAAAAGAATTTTAAAAACAACTTTCAAGATTCAAAGAATTAAAACTATAAAGAGTCTTTAAAACAACGTAGTAAACAATGCTTTAAGACAAACTGATATATTTTATTTTTAAATTCTAATATTGCTATCCACTTAAAATTAAAAATTATTTTAAGTACCTTTTCACCTGAAAACATTTACTTTAGACCAGTTCATACAAATCTTATTTTTTCTAACTAACTTTTACACCCCAGAAAAGATGTGAGTGAACAGCAAATTGCAGTAAAAGTTTAGTCTACTGAATTACTGAATTATCTAGGCAAAAGCTAGAAATATTTCAGCACCTGGAGGAAGTAAAAGGGGATTAGGCTAAATGGAGGCCTAGTTAACTTCTCTGGAAAGATATTTACAATATGACTTCATTATTTTCTTTCAAGTATTCTTCCAAATTATGAGAGAACCAAGCTCACAAATAATTACAATATGAACTTGCAATATATATATATGCACACATTTGGATTATCGATACCATTACCTCTCCGTTTCCATTAACGAGAAAAACAGACTCTATTATGATTATCTTGATTACAGATTTCTGTTTTGAATTTCCTTGTCCCTTTTCAGCACACTTATGTCAGTAGACGAAACACAATATGATGATCTAATCCAACAAGTACATAAAAATACACACACAGATGAAAAGTAAATATCGATTTATTTTATAGGATTCAACGTTTTAAGAATAAGAATTAATAAAGTATCAAGTAAAGTACTTGTTTAAAAAGTAGAATAACAATAATACATGTATCTGTAAGGGTAAACAAAAAACGGCTTTGGCAGCCAATCAAGAAAGAATGAACAAAAAAATTTTATAGCATCATGCACAAAAAGAATAATATATATTTGCGAAATTATTTTAAAATACCCAAAAGTTATAAAAGTTTCCTGGCGCAGAAAACACACAACCAGCTCTATATTATTCTACAGATTTTCCTATGAGGTAAAAAAGTACAATGGTAAAACATATCAATAACTCTATGATATAGAAGGGGGATAGGAATTTATATAACCAACTTCAGTTTTGAAAATTAAAAAATAACATACAATACAGCAAGTATCTGGTCTTACTTTGATTAGTAGCACGGTCTCTATGCCTCTCATGTCAATTAGGCTGTTCGCAACAACTGCATTATCTATTTCTAAAGCTTTCAGAACCGTTGGAAACTCTGGATGATAAGCAGCTCTAGGAAACAAAAATATATAAAGATTAACTTATCAAACTTTAATTATATAGATATATTTTTTAAGGGGTGGGTAGATTATAGATAATAATACAATGGAAAATATCTGATAACATTTGAAAACATCTGTAATAGGTTTAACTTATTTTATTTACTTAGCAAATATTTATATAATACTATGTGCTAAGTACCGTTTTAAGAAAATAATAAATATTAGCTCATTTAATCCTCATAACAACCATGAGATAGATAATATTATTCTCTCCTTTTTTAATTTCAGATGGCCAAGGTTCGGCGACTTTAATAAGTTCCCCAATGTCATAATGCTAGTTAAGTGGTCGGGCTAGGATTTAAACCAGGCAGCTCAGCTCTGGAACCCAGACTCTTAATCATTACGCCCCGTTGCCTGTTATAATTAATAATTACAATTTCCTTAAATCTTATACTGCTATCACACATAAACATAAAAGTCAATTAATTAAAACACATTTTAATAGCTAAACAATTTTCCCACTGAGACAAGAAAAACTGAAGTTCATTAACAACAAAAAGGAAACATGAGAGAAAAGATATTCTTATTAACTGTAATTTGGATTCTCTAAAAAGACATTTAATCTTTCAACAAAACAACTTAAATATCTGATCTATTGACAGCAGTGAAGAATAGACACGCCAAGAACAGCAGGTGCAGGAGCAAGGAATGGCTAAGGGGGAAACAGTCACGGCATTATGAGTGCTGTCCTAGTCCTAGAGTTCCAAAACAAAGCCTGTATCTTTGTATATACGTTTAACACCTATTCATTCATTAATTCAACATGTATTTACCGATCATCTACTATGTGCCCGGGTGCTGTTCAGAGGCTGAGACAGGAGTAAACAGAACAGATTACGTCTTGTCCCCATGGAGCTTACATTCTATTGAAGGAAGACAGAGAATAAAGAAAAAGAAAAAGTGGCATATAGTGCTTTTTCACACAAAAAAGGTAAGGAAGCCTCACTGAGGTGACAGGCAGATAACTGAGGAAATGGGAAGCATATCAGCATCCTGAAGAACAGCATTCTGGGCCAAGGGAACGGGACTTGCAAAGGCCCTGATGGGGGTGTGGAGCAGCCAGGAGGCCAGGGTGCTGAGGTGGACAGAGCAGGGAGGCGAGTGCTTCTGGAGACAAGGATGGGAGAGACGGCGAGCGGACAGATCGTGGGGGCCCTAGAGGTTACAGTAAGGCCTATAATAAGGGAAACAGGATGGGAACCATATAGGGCACTCTGAGCAGAGAAACCACATGATCTGACTTTACTCTGTGATACTGAGAGTGGGGGTGGCAGAGAACCTGAAGCAGAAAGATCCGCCTATTGCAATACTCAAGTGAGACATGATAATGGCTTGAACCAGGGTAGTCACTGCAGAAGTGTTTAGATCCCGGATATATTTTTTACAAGTATAGCCAACAGGATATAGGGTGGCAGAGAGGAGTCAAGAATGACTGAGGCTTTGGCTTGAGCAACTGAAAAATGAAGATGGGGAAGATGATAGGAAGAGGCATTTTAGGATGGAAATCAGGAGTTTGGCTTTTAGACACGTTAAGTTTGAAATATCTATTGGACATTAAAGTGGGAAATATACATTGAGTATATTATATTCTGAAGTTCAGAGGAAAGAGCCCCACTAGAAACATTACTTGGTAATCATCAGTGTATGGACTGTGTTTACAGCCATGAAACTAGAGGAGTTCACTGGGGAGCAAGTGCACGACAAACAGAGGTCTGCAGCACTGACGCAGTTAGAGGTTCCCAGGGCAGGAGGCAGAACCAAAAGACACTAAAAAAGAATACCTGGAGATTTAGGAAAACCAGAGAGTGAGGTCTTAGGAACCAAGTAAAAAAGTGTTTCGGGAAGAATGACATGATCAGCTGAGTCAAATACTACTGGTAGGTCAAGTTCGTGCGTAGTAAGGATGGACCACAGACTCAAGCAAAGCAAGGCTCACTGGTGCCCTGCTGTTCTGAACTGTGGTGAAGTTATAAAAGCTTGACTGGAGCAGGGTCAAGAAAGAAGGGGAAGCGAGAAATGAGACACAGACCACCTTTTGAGGAGTCTTTCCTGTAAAGGGAAGTAGACAGATGAGATAGTAACCTCAGGATAGAGCTCAAGTGGAAGTAAACACAGGATAGGAAAGAATGGGGGGTGGGTGCTCTAGAAGTCAAGCAGTGTGACTGAATCAAAGTAGATTGTGAGAGGACAAAGGAGAGGGAGCAGGATCATAAGAGGAAGGGGATGTGGTAGGAGATCCTGGTGAAATGCAGACCCTGGCCAGTCTGCTGAAAGCACAGGTTTCTGTGCTAGGAAGGAACAAATATTTTAAAGGGGAAGGCACATGCCACTGCTGGACAAGACTGCTCCTCCCAGCTTGCTGGACAGTGCCCAGTCACAACCACCCCCTCCTCTTGCTTTCCTTCCTGGGATTTACTTCATATCGGTTTATACCACAATTAGTTGCACGCTGAGAAACGCTATCAAATCAGTCCAGGAGAACTAGAAGTAGGAAGGAATAGTAGCAGTGAAGTGTAAGTGACAAGAGACAAGGAAAGAATGATATGAAATACGTTCCCCAAACAATGTCAAGTAGAAAGCTTAAAGAGGACAGGAGAGACAGAGGAAGAATTACACATAAAATTCCAGGCAAGTATAATGAGCCTCACTGGTAAGAGGAGTCACAGGACAAAATGATTTGATGATTCTAAATAAGCTTAGAAAGAATCATTTAATAAAAACACGTGATTTCTAAAGCCAAGTAAAAGAAAAAATACAACAATCAAATCAAAATATAGAAAAAAACATGTTTAAAATTTAAAAATTTAGGGCGTTTTTAATGTCTCCAAATATAAGAAGAATATGTAATGTAAGAAGTGACAACAAACCAACAACAGAGCTGCGGGGAGCACCAAGATAAAAGGAGTAAGAGACGAAGACAAGCCACAACGTAGGCTGAGAACATCTGAAAAGCAGGAGAACCCAGAAAATAGTGTCACGGTGACCAAAGGAGAACAGGGGTTTCAAGGAAGGTATATTTAATGGTATCTAATGCCTGAGAGAAGGAAAATAAATACACAAAAATATATACATATACACTGGATTTGGCAACAAGGAAATAACTGGAGAATATAATGAATATTTCAGGTGCTAGATAGCAGTGGGTCAGGGAGTGAATGCAGTCACCCCTAGGAGTAGGTTATTCTCATGAGGGGAAAGGCAAATCAGTGACCTAGGCTGTTACAAGAGGAGAGAAGTTAATGGAGTTGCAAAGTTCAAGGCTCAGGAGAGTTCAGAAATTAAAAGAAATGGTTCCTGAATCAGGCAAGAAAGTATGCAATTCGTAGAATAAGTAGAACAGCCTTAGGCAGAAAGAACATCTCTTCTGTTGAGATAGGGGCAAGAAGTACAGAGCAGACATGGTTATTGGCGGGTACTAGCAAGCCGAGTGGGGCAGTAGCCTCTACTTCCTGGGAAAAGAGGAAAGAAGGCCATTTTTATAGGAAAGGAAATGAGATTTCCCCAATACCTCCCTGGGAGCTAGGCACTTCCCTACACACCTTGGTTGAGGTTATCTAACTAAGCCTAATGTATGTGATTCATTCTACATTCTTATAGTGTTTTACTGTTCTTTTCTACATTAAAATAACACACCCCATTTTTAAATTTATCATTTGAAACACAACTTATACCGATGAAGTTCTTCACAAAAAGTTACGCCTTCAAAATGTTTGTAAGGCAGTGAAAGTTGGCAGAATATTAAACGTACCCAAGACTTGTCAATATCAACACCCAAAAGGATTAGCATCCAACTTCCTCCACTACTCTACCCACTTGAACCTACTCTTAAAGCTAAACATGGACTTTGTTATCCCCTGGACCTGCTGCCATTAAACTCTAACTTCCCACTCTCACCACAACCTACCATCCTTCCAGGCTTATCATGCCTGTTAAACCTGCTCTCTAAGTTCATCAAGGCTGAGCTACAGATTTTCTCCCAGGCCTCCTTTTCTTCCCCATCTATCCTAAAACCCATGGCCAATCACTGAACTACTTTCCCAACAGCACTTTCTCACCTACTCTAAATAAAACGCACACACTCCGAAAAATTCTAATGTAATATTAATTCAACAATACATATTCTCCACTTAAATCTATTAAAAAACCAAACATTATTGGTAAACAATCCTGCAGCCACCATAGACATTTGAATCTTGAGTGGACTTTGGGTCAGCTTCCTCTCTCATTTTCCCAAACTTCCTACCCGACTCCTGAGGCCCTCATTCACAGCACGTGAATTCACCTACTTCCAAGAAAAGCGACACCATACTGCACAAACTTAGCTCACCTTTGCACCTCTTCACAGGATACTGTAAGTCACACTTGGTATATTGCTAAGAGATTAGAAATACAATGACTGGGAAACACAACACGCCAGCAGGGCAGTGCCAGGGCTTCCTATTCATGGGAGTCTTTGCAGCAGCTCACAGAACAGTCCATACAGCTGTCCAGGACTACCGTTATTGGTCTCCAAAGGACAGCTCAGCTGCAGGAGGACACGCCTCACAGAAGCCAATATCTCTCATAATGACCTCACAGCAATACTTTCCAAGGTCCCATATGGAAATGCCCACTTACAAGAGTCACCATACTGGCATCCCACCAGGTGTACAGAGTTCTTCCAGTGTAGGTGCAGCTAACCTGTCAGGGGTCATTTTTACCATAAGCAATGTTGTCTGGTAGCACAACTTAAATTTCACTTTTATCAGGTTTTAGAACAGGGATCAAAGCTAGAAATTAGCATAAGGTCAAGTTCTCATGCAGACAGAGAAAACACTTTACCCCTAACTCCCAAACCCTTATTTCTAGCCTAAAAGCTCAAAATCAACAATTCCACAACAGGACTTATCTACTTTTGACAAAGCCACTTTTTTCTTATACTTCTCCTAAGTCATTTGATGGCACATCTGTTAGGAAGTCACTCCAACCAGAAACCTAGTAGTCATCCTCAATTCTTCCTTCTCTTACATTCAACTAACATGTTTTAATGACTTGGTCTGAAATACCTCTTTTAATCTGTTCCTTAACATCTTCAATGCAGATGCTATTTTTTGCAGAATAATTTATGACGTCATGCCCCCGTGCATTTTGCACGTAGAATTCTATTGCCTAGGAGGTAATTAACCCTTGTCTGTCACTTGACAAACTCATCAGTTAGAAGACTGATCGTTTATCCTCTCTTCCCTGATTTCTTCCCTAACCTACCTACTAACATTTAATTACACCCTCATCTGAACTATATCTTCACCTCGTGATCCAATCTTACGAAAGCTGACAAGGAATAAATTAGAAAATATGTATATACTCAAAAGTAAAGTGACTAGCTAGCCAGCAACTAGCAAAGAGGCCAGTTTGGGTATTGCGCCCTTGAGAAGGTTTGTTAGGGTCATCAAAGGAAACAATTGCAGTTCTTTAAGGAATCTGTGGAGCACCTTGAGAGCTGGACTGTGGGGAATGAGTACCAAAGTTCTTCCTTAGTACCTCTCTCTTAATTTGGCAAGGTCTGCATCATTTCCCTCATGAGCGTAATTTCTATGACACACTACATCTGTTTCCCTGTACTGTCTCCCACAACAGATCTCCTGTAAAGACCTCAAGGGCAGGGAGTATCTCTTATTTACTTATGTATCTCCAATGCCTAGACTGAAATTAAAGAAGTGGCTTGATGAAATTTTACACATCAGTAGTGTAGGTATTTTATTTTAACATAAAAATGTTCTAATTCTTTCTAACCCTGCAGATGATTAAGCAAAACCAGAAACAGTATTTAATTACGGATGCCTTACTTGTGTCTTACATCATACATCTCATTCCGAAATTCAGACACTATTATCTGTGGTCGTGAGGTCCCTGGTAAATAAAACTTTTTCATCAGCGCCTGAAGTACTCTTTCATCAGCATGATTATGGCAACAGTAGGCTTGCAGAAGTCCTTTTAGGCAAGATTCAATAGCCAAAGCAAGCTCAGGGTCCCGAAGATGAATGCAAGCTCCTAAAAGTGAGAGAAAATTATTAAAAGGCCTATAAATATTTATTTTGAAATATTAACATAGCTATCTTTTTATAATAACTCATTAATGACTTCAAAATATTTTCATATAAAGCAGCTTAAATGAAATTACAGATCTTACTTTAACTGAATTAGAAATCCCACATATCCATTAAACACACTGGGGAGAAAACCTACCAAACTCTGGGAAAACACTGTCCCACTCAACTCTAAATTAATAGTGGTTTTTGTATATGAGTTTAAACTATTATAGTCTCTGAATGGTGTTTTGAAAATCACGCCACCAGATTAATAGATTCCTTATAATTTTCTGTAAAACTGATTAATATTGGGATTTTAGATTTAGAGAGGGAAAAAAATGCCTCACACATTGGAATGGATCCTGGTATAGAGGTACCTAATATCTGAAGGAAGAGACATTTCTACAATACTTAATACAGTGTGTCGTCTGTACTTATAAGTACAGGCATATCTCATTTTACTGCGTTTCGCTTTATTGTGCTTCGCAGATATTGTCTTTTTCACAAGACCTTCCACCAGCAAAAAGACTACAACTCGCTGAAGGCCTAAAGGATGGTTAGCGTTTTTTAGCAATAAGGTATTTTTTTTAGTATTTACGTTTTTTATTTTATTTATTTATTTTTTTTGTGAGGAAGACTAGCCCTGAGCTAACATCCGCTGCCAACCCTCCTCTTTCTGCTGAGGAAGACTGGCCCTGGGCTAACATCCATGCCCATCTTCCTCTAATTTATATGGGACGCCGCCAGAGCAAGGCTTGACAAGTGGTGCGTTGCTGCGCACCTGGGATCTGAACCTGCAAACCCCAGGCCACCCAAGCAGAGTGCGCGAACTTAACTGCTGCGCCACCGGGACAGCCCCTAAAGTATTTTTTAATTAAGATACGTATGTTGTTTAAGACATAATGCTATTGCATACTTAGTAGACTACAGTATAGTGTAAATATAACTTTTATATGCACTGGGAAACCAAAAATTTCTTGTGAATCACTTTATTGCAGTGGTCTAGAATGGAACTCACGATATCTCCAAGGTGTGCCTGTAACACAGTACTTTACTAAGAAAATATATTTATATTTACAGCATCATTTTCACCTAATGATGTAAAAAATTAGAGAAAACTTCTCAGAAGAAGTCAATTGATTATTTTTAACCTCATGTATATATGGGGATAATTAAATAACCCCAGCTTTTACAGTTGGAAGAGGACTTAGAAACAATGTTCGTCAAATGAAAACTAAGAAAAGACAAGTTATTTTATAAAGGTTACACGAAACACTCAGGTGATGAGTGTGCTTTTGACTATATCTTGATATAACGGGATTTTCCAACTAATCAATTACATTCAAATTAGTTCATTCATCCATTCAGGAAAAAAATCAAAATCAGATTATCCAACTCTAATTACTTTTCTTTTTCCTAAGTTCTCTTTCTTTTCACTATTTTATGATCTAAAGATACAAAAGGAAAGTTGCAAAGTTTAAAGTGATTTTTATCATTATTTTTTAAAATATACACAATTAAAATCCACATATAACAACATAGCTCTTTGAAAATAGTTTTTTTTTTTTTTTTTTTT